AGTTTGGAACTTTGCTCAAAGGGCTATAAAAATGTGCATACTCTTTGATCCAACAATACTATTGCTAGGTATATATCCCAAAGACATCTCAAAAAAGGGAAAACAACCTATTTGTACAGAAATATTTGTGACAGCTCTTTTTGTGTTGGCTAAGAATTGGAAATCAAAGGGATGCCCATCAATTGGGGAATGGCTAAACAGGGTATGGTATATGAATGTATGGGATATTATTGTGCTGTAAGAAATGGCAAGCAGGATGATTTCAGAAAACTCTGGAAAGACTTACATGAAGTGATGCCAAGTGAGCTGAACAGAACCAGGACAACATTGTACACAGCAACAATATTATTTGATGAAGAACTGTGAATGACTTAGCTATTCTCAGCAATTCAACGATCTAAGACGATTCCAAAGGACTAATGATGAAACATACCATCTTCTTCCAGAGAAAGAACTGATATTTTTTGGATACAGACTGAAGCATGCTATTTGTCTCTTTCCTTCATTTTATCTTTTATTTGAGTCTTCTTGTACAAAATAACTAATATTTTACATGATTCCACTTGTATAATCTATATCTTATTGCTTCCCATCTCAGGGGTGGGGAAAGGAGGGAAAAAAGGAGGGAAGGATAGAAATTGGAACTCAAAACTTTAAATAAAAATTTTTTTAAATATGCTTTTTCAACAAAATAAATGAATTTTGTAGTTAAGCCACCAGGAAGGAAGCTTCTTCCTTGTCTAGCCACTAAGGGAAAAGAGGCAGGTAATTATAAGCACTCTGATTGGCTACAAGCTCCTTGAAGGCAGATATTTTTGGGTCCTCTGAACTCTGCAGCAGTGCTTTAAAAATAGGGATAAAAAAGCTCAAGCTGTGATTTTGTTGATATAGGGAACTCCTGAATAAGAAAACTTAGCAACTCATAAACTTAGAATATTGCCTAGCAAAGGCATCAACCACAATCCATGCACTTGCAACAGTAACCACATTAAAATGGAATTAAAACATAAATAACATTACATTTAAACAACTAGGTCAATATGCCAAACACTGATCCTTTTGTGTGAATTAGTGGTTTGTTTCTGCTTGAGTTTTACACCACTGGCCTACAGAACTAAAAGTTTAAGTGGCTTGCCAAGGATCACACAGCCAATATATGGTAGGACTTGAACCCAGGTCTTCTGAACTCCATGGCCATCTGTCCATCCACTGCAACTAACCCTCTAGGCTCACTGAGTTTCATATTATATGCCTTCAACAAAATACTAAATAAATATCCACTGAATAAATGAATGAATGATTGCTTGGGGAGAGGGAGGGGCACAAAAAGCTATTTTAAAGTAATACTTTCCTTTGGTAACTGAAGATGTTTCAGAATTTTGGTAGTTAACTGATCAACACAGTACTACTAGGAATTGAGCTTGGAAAGTCCCTGCTGACTTCAGTTTAGGAAAAAGGAACAAACACCAATTTGGCCTCTTAGGAAGGGTTCAGGGATAGGAACTGAGCTCCCAAGAATCTACCCTACAGCCACTGTCCTGGTCTCCTGTTTCCTCTTCCCATGATAGATTGTTCATCAATTTCCCTGTGACAGTAATATAGTCGCTTGATAAATGGCTCTTTTCCCTAAAGTGGTAGACATAGTCAACATGGCATAGTATAAAGAAAACTGAATCACGTCAGAAAGGTGATGTCTTTACTTGCAAGTGAATTGGGTTAAATGAGGCAGAACTGTGCAAAGCCATCAGCCTCACTCTCTCCTCCAGAGTCATATGGGAAGTAGTGAAGTATTATTTCATCAAATATTCAGTCTGCTCTCAAGCCTTGGGCAAAAGGGAGTAACACTATTCCTTTAGCTCCCAGCAATTGTCCCCCCTGAGCAGCTTCTGGTTATGAGAGAACTCCAAACTGAGGACAAATCCCTAAGGACAATGAAAATCTATCAGACTCATTCCTTAGTGCTTAACAACTAATCCCATACCTTCTTCAACTCAATAATTCTGAACCCCCAGCTGTCATCATTCAAACATCATCTTCAGCCCCCAGTGTCTAATACCTTATTCCCACTCTCCTCAGCCAGGGATGTACTCTATGCTGACAATTCTCAAATCTACCTATCTTGCCTCAAACTCTCTGCTTACCTCTAATCTTGAATCGCCAACTGACTTTTGAACATCTCAAATTAATATCCAATAGACATCTAAAATTCCCTATGTTCAAAACTGAACTCTGATATAGCTTTCCCCTAAAACCCTCCCCAACTCCTATCTTCCCTATTACTGTAGAGGGCTGCACCATTCTCCTAGTCCTTCAGGCTTGCAACCTATGTGTCATTTTCTACTATCTTTCACCCCATATCCAAAATATTGCCAAGTCCTGTCAATTTTATCTTTGCAGCGTCTCTCAAATGCATCTCCTTCTCTCCTATGACACTGCCATCACCATGGTACAGGCCCTCATCCCTTCATGCCTGGACTATTGAATTAGCCCCCTGCTGGGTCTGTCTGCCTCAAGTCTATCTTCATTCCAATCTATCCTCCATTCAGTCATTTAAGTGACTTTCCTAAAGCTCAGGTCTAACCATGTCACCTCTCCTCCAACACTCCACTCAGACAATTCAGGTGGTTCACTATTGCCTCCATGATCAAATACAAAATCTTATGTTTGATATTCAAAGCCCTTTATAATGAAGCTCCATTCTACCTTTCCAATCTTCTTATATCTTACCCCCTGCCCCCAACTCTATTATCCAATGACACTGACCTCCTTGCCAGTTCCTAAAATAAGACACTCCATCACCCAACTCTGGATGTTTTCATCAGCTGGACTCCAGCTGGGATTGGAGCTATTTATATCTCTTGCCTTCTTTGGCTTCCTTTAAGTCCTAGCTAAAATCCTGCCATCTACAGCAAATTTTTCCCACTTCCCCTTAATTCTAGTACTTTCACTCTGTTTAATTTCTAAATTATCCTTAATATCTTTTCTTTGTACATATTTGTTTGTATGTTGTCTACCCCACTAGACTGTAAATTCCTTCAGATCAGCTAAAAGGTCTTTTACCTTTTTTTTTTTTAATACCATTTAATACTAGCATTTAGCATAATGCCCGGCACATGTTGTTCAGTCATTCAGTAACTTTTGACTCTACTTGACCACTTGGAATTGTCTGTAGGGAATTTTTTGCCAGACACAGGATTGGTTTGCATTTCTTCTTCCAGTGAATCCCCATTTTATAGATGAGGAATTCAGGCAAATAGGGGTTAAATAATTTGCCCAAGGTCATACAGCTAGTAAGTGTCTGAGATTGCATTTGAACTCAGATCTTCCTGACTCCAAGGCTGGTGCTCTAGCTACTGTACCACCTAGCTGCCCCTAGCCAGCCTATAGTAGTTGATTAATAAATATTTTAAAAGTGAATGTTGAAAACTATCTTTACATGTAATTGGAAAAAAATAAAATACTATTAAGTGAGGAAAAAAAAGAAAAAAAACTAAAATTTTTTTTGCTGCAATGAATTAATTTCTATAATTGCCAATAAAGTATTAACTTTTCAAGAGGATAAAATTGGGGGCATAAGGGCAAGTCCTAGCAAAAATGTAAAACTTGTCATTTGTCTTTAACTCGCCCTGCACTATTCAGTCAACTTTAGTAGGGGTATGTTGATGCTTAATTAAGGTTAATTTAAGATGGGTTAAAGGGAGAAATCTTTAGTGACTTCCCATCAGCTACTATATACAAATTAAATGGTTAACTACTGACAGTCAAGACCTCTAAAATATAGTCCCAATATTTGTGTACCTTGATCATATACCACTTCTCAAAATTCTGTGTTTTAATCAAACTGGAAAACTTTTTAATCTCTCATTCTTGTTCTATCCACGTGGAAGGTTGTGTTAATGTCTACACTGCTCTTCTGCTTGAAGTAGATACCACCTTCCTTTCAATCTGCACACTACCAACCACCCAACCCCAACATATTCCCACATCCATCTCTCTCTTCCTTCAAAAATCGACCTCCGATGCCTTGTCCTCCATGCAGTTGGCCCCGATCTCCCAAGAAAAAGCATCCCTTGAAGAAGGCAAAGATGGTCATTTTTCATATGAGAATCTGTAGTACCTTCCTAAGCTGGGCTTTAATTGTTGGTGCTTAATGTTGACTGGATTTGAATTAATTCTATCAGTAGTGGCAAAAGGCCTCAGCTGAGGGAAAGGAGGACTAAATAGGCAGGAAACAGATAGAAATTGATCTAACTGGTCAGAGAGAGGTGGCTCACTGGTTTTGCACATGAAATCCTTTCAGTCCTAAGAGAATAGTTAAGGAGCCTAGAAGCCTTGACCTGCAAATAAAGACTGAACTACCCTCATTAGAAATAAAAATTTTAAACCAACTTGGGTTTACTCAGCCCTCCCACTGAGTTCTCCCATCTATAGCATCCTCTCAATGCCACAGAATAACAAAGGGAATGTGAACAGACATAGTAGGAGGCCCCTCTCTCACAAAATCCTTTCATACAACTAAGAATGCTTAAGCACTGGCTGTATACAAAGCACTATGCTAGGAACCACTTAGGACACAAAAGACGAAGGCATGGGCAGCTGCAGCTTATGACATCTGAGGTGGGCCAGGTCTCAGTCCCAGGCTCCTTTTATCAGATGCCTTTTCTTTCCCCTTGCACAGAGCAGGGCCTCTTCCTAGCACTTCCTCCTTATTTTTTTTAATATGACTTCTCCAGCAGTCCTAGGGGCACAATGAATGATACAGATGACACCTTATTTATTAAGGAAGAATATAGTGAAAAAATGGGGTTAATGCAGAAAGGGTAGCAGTGTAACTAAGAAGGAGTCTGTAGGTGGACAGCAGAAGCAGACTTCCTTCTCCCTGAGGCCTTGAGCCAACAGAGGGTAGAAAACATCCAGAACAGAAAGTGGAAACCACAGGGTCTTTTGGGAGAGAGAGGATGGCAAATGGCCTCCAGGCACAGGAGAAAGCTGGCTCCAGGACAATGACTCGGCTGCTCCTCCCTCTGGGATGACTGGGGACCCTGGAAGGAGAGCAGGGATGGGAGGCACTCTCTCTGAAGGATACAATCCAAAGGTCACCTCAGCAGGCCTGCAGGGGGGAAGAGAGTCATTACAGGCTGCAGACTCTTCCAGTAGCAGCTCTACTTCTCCAAGTGAAGGGGAAGCCTGATGATCCTTTGGAGGTAGAGTCACCATTAACCCTTCCTGTGCCCTCAAATCACTACCCAAAGAGATTTACCCATTCTTCTTACTAAAACATGGATTTTTCCTCTTCTCCTGCCCCCTGGAATCCTGAGGGTGTCTCTGAAAACTCTGATCCCAAAGGGAAGGGATACTGCCTGAAGCAGGACTTCTGCTGAATCATGGGATATTTGGAAAATAGTTCTGGAAACTTCTTGTAGCAATAGGGTAAGATATCACCCATTCTCCCACTCCCCCTCCCATCCTAAGGATCTGTTGATACCCCAATTGGGTAGCAAAAGAGCCTAGTAAGAGAGAGACAGAACCAAATTATGCTCATTCTTCTAGTCTGTGAGCTCAGGAATGGAGAATTATGATCCTTGGCCACAAAGGGAAAGGGATATTACCTGCAGGCTGAGGCCCAGTGCATCCTGAGGTGGGAGTGGAAGAATGAGAAAGAGAAAAATAGAAGGTCACAAACAGTCAAATCCTTAAAGTGGGGAGGATTTCTACGCTAGAGTTAGGATGCTCATCTACCACCCCAACATGAGGGACCCTAAACTTTAACCCTGTTATGTCTGAGGAATTCTCACCATAATTAAAGAAGAAGGGAAGTTCAAGCCTGAGGGGTCTCCTCTCTTTGTCAAGCCCAGGATTTGGCTCTCACTATATCCCTCAGTCACAGAATCCTCCTATTCCAGGTTAGCTTTGGTTTGGGAAATATTGATCCTAATATCTCCCAACCCTTGGATTTGCATCTGACCTCCTGAGATAAGTTCCCTCTATGGGGTAAGGGGCAGGAGCTGGGGCCAAAGCCAAAGCCCCTGGCCCAGTAGAGATGGATATTCCCCCATAGCCTGAGTTCTGTGGAGCCAATGCCTCTTCCTACATGCACCTCACCTTTCTGGTTCTTCAGGTGGATGATCGGTCCTACACCTAGGAAGATCAGCCCCAGGACAAAGCCTCCAATTCCACTCAACAATTTGTTCTGGGCAGATTCAGACTGTACCCCTGCAGAGAACATGCCTTGGGGTCATCACTTATCAATCCTCTCCATCCCACCCTCTAACAGTCACCTAAAAGTGCAGAGCCCAGCTTGATTTGTAGGACACTAAGAAATTGAGAGGTAAGCAGAGGCAGAAGCATGGAGTGAGAAATGGAAGAAAAAAGATGAAGGGAGGTCAGGGCTGGGGGCAGAGAAGATGACTGCTTTTCTGAGGACATTCCTATTTCTTGATCCCAGAGATATATAAAAACTGAATTCGAAGAGGTAAAGATGATCTATCTTCTGTGGTAAGTGACAGTCAAGGGAATTTAAATCCCCAAGAGAGGATGGACTAAGATGCTGCAAGTTCCTCCTGTTGAGGAATGTGTTTTCAGAAAGCACCAAGGTTCTGTGGATGCTAGCTCGATGCTGCAGCCAGGAAGCTATGCTGGGACAGGGAATAGGATGCATATGATCCAGGGCGAAGGAGGGGGTTCTGTGGGAACATTCACTGAAGGACCTCCAGAGCTATGGAACTCTATGTCCTGGGGTTTAAGGAGAGGGCAGGCTGGGGACAGAGTAAGGGAGTTGGCTCTCACTCCATTCCACATTGATGGGGCTCTGAAGGCTGGCACGCTCCACACTGCAGGTGTAGACATCTCTGCTCTGAGGAATCATTTCCAACATGACCAGGGTCTGGTAGGTCCAGTCTCCATTTTGTATAACACCCCTGGACACAACCCCAGCTGTCTCCTCCTGCCCATTCTTGAGCCAGGTGACCTTGATCTTGCTTGGATAGAAGCCAGTGACAGAGCAGACTAGTAGGTGCTGCAGGGCCTCTGTCTTGGAGGGGGAGATGGTCACTCTGGGCTGGACTGAGTGGGGGGGGCAAAGTGTGAGGAGACAGAGAAGCTTTTTTTTCCCCCCTACAAACAGTCCCTTCCTTCTGATGAGGGTCCCTCTGGCTGTCAGGCCCTGAAGGCCTCCTCCAGTGGTGTCCAGCACAGGTTCAGAGATGCTCTCCTTTGTCCGGGAGTTGGTGGGGGGGTCAGACCCTCCAGGTTCCCATTGTCCCTATATTGGACTGCCTCAGTCCCCTCAACCCTGGCTTTGGCAGCAGCCTCTTGGGTGGTCCTGTCCAGGGTGGAGGAGGGGAGAGAGGCTACGGGGCACGCGGGGCGGGGGTCCAGCCTCCTCTGGGTCAGTTCAGGACACATGCTCAGGTCTGGAGTCAGGGGGACCACCTTCCCTCTGTTCCGGCCCCGGAAGTCAAGGAGTGAAGGTCAGGGTCACTCACCTCTTCTGTCCACCTCTAAAGACTTGTCTGTCTCGTAGTTGTATCTGCACACCGCGTCCACAACGGCTTGTTCTTTCTCCAGGAAGTCCTTCTGATTGTTCCAACGCTCAGCGCTTGGCTGCCCCAACTCTGTCACAGCCACGAACTCCCCCAAGACGCTGTCGAAGTGAGCGTATTCCTCATCATTGTAGATATATCTACAAACATGCCGCACCAGCTGCGTGCCGTTGGTGAAGTAACACTCAGCCTTGTGCTGAAACACGAAATCCTCTGTGGACAGACCCGGAGCAGCGTCAACCGCCTGCAGACTCACCAACTGCCGCCCCAGTGACCGGACGAGGACCGCCTGCCTTCATCGCCTCACTGGTCAGCTGCATGGCCTCCCTCGCTAAGCCCTTTGCTCCCAGCTCCCCTTCCCCCTTCAGAGCGCAGGTGAAAGGTCGATGGTTTGGCCTACTCTGGGACAATAAGGACGCGCCTCTGCCTCTCCCCTACCCCCTCTGCAATGGAGGGTTGGGAGCCATCCTTGGGTCTGGAGATTCAGAAGGGAAACTTCTCCCTACAAAGATGATCCAGGAAACATTGTGGCTTTCTACGTCTAGCCCCACGCAACACACACACACACACACACACACACAATCTTCACATGCGCACATATACACAATAAACATTCACACAACCCTCACATACACATACACACATAGTCACTCATACATACAATCATGGCATGTGGAGAAGGTAGGAAAGGGAAGTAAGGGGGAGCCACAGAAAGTTCTATCTTAGAGGCATAGACACAAGAAGGACAAGAGAAGAAGCTGAGCTCCTTCCTCCTTGTAGGGAATCTCTCAAGTTCCTCTTCCTACCTGCTCCCTCTCCTGCACAGAGCTGCCTCTCCCAGGCTATCAATACTTCACTCTCTTCCAAGACCTTCCTCCTCCCTGAAACAAGCTCCCTGCCCCTGGGAAAAAAACCCTACTCCTGTAATCTGAGCAACCTGTTCCTATTTCCCAGTACAACTGCATAGGCCAACAGTCCTTCGAACTGACACAATTGCCCTATTCCCAACTGTCTCTGTTCTACTTTAAAAAATTCCTTCTTATATATACAAAAATATTCATAGCAGCTCTTTTTGTGGTGGCAAAGAATTGGAAATTGAGAGGATGCCCATCAGTTGGGGAATGGCTGAGCAAGTTGTGGTCGATATAGGCCAAACCATCGACCTTTCACCTGCGCTCTGAAGGGGGAAGGGGAGCTGGGAGCAAAAGGCTTAGCGAGGGAGGCCATGCAGCTGACCAGTGAGGCGATGAAGGCAGGCGGTCCTCGTCCGGTCACTGGGGCGGCAGTTGGTGAGTCTGCAGGCGGTTGACGCTGCTCCGGGTCTGTCCACAGAGGATTTCGTGTTTCAGCACAAGGCTGAGTGTTACTTCACCAACGGCACGCAGCTGGTGCGGCATGTTTGTAGATATATCTACAATGATGAGGAATACGCTCACTTCACCTATAAGAAATGGTGAACAGGCTGACTTCAGAAAAACCTAGAAGGACTTACATGGTCTGATGCTGAGTGAAGTGAGCAGAACCAAGAGGACTTTGTACACAATAACAGCCACTTTATGTGATGACTAATATTGTTAAACTGAACCCTTCTCAGCGTTACAAGGATCTAAGACATCTCCAGAGGCCTCAGGATGGAAAATGCTGTCCACATCCAAAGAAAGAACTATGGAAGTCGAATCGCTATCACTTATTTTTACCTTCTGTTGAGTTTTGTTTCATCTTTCTGATGGTTCCTCCTATTGGTTTTAATTTTTACTTCTAACTTCAGTAATGTGAAAATATGTTTAATAGGAATGTAAATGTAAAGCCTATATCAGATTGTGCACCGTCTTGGGGAGGATGGGGGGGAGGAAGGTGGAGAAAAATTTTCAACTCAAAAGCATATGGAAGTGATTGTTGATAAATCAAAATAAATTAATAAAATTAAAAAAAAATTCCTCCTTATCAATCCAACTTCAGGTTCACTTAGTCCAATCCCCCCACTTTTACACAGGAAAGAACTGAGGAGCAGCCTGTTGAAATGACTTACCCAAGGGCAGCTAGGTGGTACAGTGGATAGAGCACTGGCCCTGGAGTCAGGAGGATCTGAGTTCAAATCCAGCCTCAGACACATAACACTTACTAGCTATGTGACCCTGGGCAAGTCACTTAACCCCATTGCCTAGCCAAAAAAAAAAAAAAAGAAATGACTTACCCAAAGACACTAGGCTAATAAGTGGTACACCTGGGGGTGCAACACAAGTTCTCTGACTCCAGACTCAGTTATCTTTTCCCCAAAATCACTTTGGTTTTAATAACTTCCAGTCAATATCCCACACTGGTAGAAAAATCGATGAAGGGTTTAATCAGGAAAAATAAGCTAAGTTCAAGGAATGTCATGCTCAATGAGCAACAAGTATAATCTAAGGCAGGCAAGGAAGAAATCTGGTGCTGAAGAAAAGGTGCTTTCAACACAGAGTGATATCCTTAAGTTGCTACTATGTGCAAAACATTTTTAAGCCCTGGAAATACAAAAATACCCAACAGAACCCATTCATTTCATTGTTACAATCTGAAATGTAGAGAAATGGGGAGCAAGAACTCTGACAAAGCTCCCTGCTTCAGCATCTACCCCAAATGGTCACCCTCTTTTTCTGGGGAAGGAGCCCTACCCAGTTTCACCAGCGGCTTCTATTCCACAGTAGGAGAAATTTTACAACTTCTTCTTGGGAGGCCAAGGACCTCATGCCCTGGGCAGAAGACCCAGGGAGTGGTATTACTACACTTACCTGGGATGTCCCTGGCCCAAGATGCAGGTAGACTCAACACCAGTGATGTCATTAACAGACCAATCTTCCAACAGCCAGCACAGATCCAAACATCAACCATGTTAGAGATGAGCAGGAGTCCAGGGAATAAGCAAACAGCAGGATGGATGGCCTCTAGTCAATCAACAGGACTTAGCACCTCACTTGTTGGAGAAAAAGACCTGGCTGGCGTCTTTAAGTCCCCTAACACTGAAAAGTGACTGAAAGAGGAACCAATAAACATTAAAGGCTGAGACGTATCATCTGTCTCCAGGCAACAAGTTATGAAGGGCCTGCTAGGACACTTTTCTTGGCAGAAGAAACAAGTGCCCTAGATCTAAACCCTTATAGCCTCAGAAATGAACTTGCTTCTTCATTTGTCCCTTGCTTTGCTCATATCTTCAGCCTCTCCTCTTTTGTCTTTAAAAGGCATGCCATTAGAATGTGAATTCATTGAGAGCATAATTGTATCTCCAGTTCTTAACACAATGCTTTGCACATAGTAAGAGGTTACTTAAGTTCTCTATTCATTCTTTCAAAAATATACAATTTTATAATAATAATGTTTTACATGTACTTAATGCTTTCAGATTTCAAGGTGCTTGTCTTACAGTAACATCACAATTCAATAATACTAGGAGAATTTTAGCATAGGTATTCCATATATAGCAGATGAGACACTGGTTCAAAATTCAGGAATCGTAGATCTTTTTGAACTCTCAACTGTCTGGGATTTCCCTTCTTAACTATCTATCTTTATGACTTTAATCTGTCACCCTGGGTCCCTGAGACACTTTGGTCCAGACACAGAGCTGGTTTTACTCTCTGTTTTTACCTGGTAGATGCTCCATCAGTTTATATTCATCTGAGGTTAAGGAGAACAGAATCAGGATAATTGTCTTAGGTAGTCAAATATAGATGATTGTAAATGAATAATGAAATGTGGTTGCAGATGTCTCTAGATGCTCACGTCTGATCTGATACCAAGTTTCCGAGGCTCCCTTAAGGACAATTTAGAAAATCCTTACTCAAGAAAGGAAACACCTCTCATGAAATGTTGAAACATTTACTTTCATGTAAGTGACTTGACATCTTTAAAATATAGTCTTACTGAGAAACAAAGGTAATTACACAAAGCAACAAAAAATAAAAGGCATTATTTATGAGCTAGATAGAGTTGCAAGTCCTCAAAAAGATGGGAGTACTAGATCTGCATGTGAGCCAAGAAGCAACACGTAGAACCAAACATGGAACAAAGGAGTATGACAAGGCTGTATGTTGTCACCTTATTTATTCAAGTTATATACAGAGTATGTCATGTGAAATGTAGGACTGGATGAATCAAAACTTGAATTAAGATCGCCAGGGGCAATATTAACAATTTCAGATATTTAGACAATACCACTCTAATGGCAGAAGTGAAGAGGAATTAATAAGTCTCTTGATGATGGTGAACAAAGAGTGTAAAAGCTGGCTTGAAGCTTAACATAAAAACAAAAATAAAAACAAGACCCTAAAATTTTGGCAATTAGTAGCACCACTTCCTGGCAAATAGAGGGTGAAAAAATAGAAGCAGTCGGATTTCATATTTCTGGGCTCAAAGGTCACTGGAGATGGTGACTGCAGCCATGAAACTGAAAGTCACTGACTCCTTGCAGGGAAAACCATGGCAAATCTGGACAGCATACTAAAAAGCAACAACAATGGACAAATAGTCAAAGGTATAGCTTTTCTAGTAGCAATGCTTGGCTGTGAAAGCTGAGCTATAAGGAAAGCTAAGCACCACAGGATCTATACTTTTGAACTGTGGTGCTAGAGAAGACTTTTGAGAGTTCCTTGGACAGCAAGGAGGTCAAATCGATCAATACTTAAAGAAATTAATTTAGGCTGTTCACTGGAAAGTCAAATACTGAATCTGAAACTTAAATATTTTGACCATTTAATGAGAAGATGGAACTCATTGAAAGAGACCCTGATGTTGGGAATGATTGAAAACAGCAAAAGGAAAAGGAGATGGCAGAGGATGAAATGGATAGATAGTATCGTGGAAACAATGAGTATGAACTTGGATAGACTTTGAGAGATAGTGGAGGATTAAAGGACCTTGTATTCTATGGTCTGTGGGGTCATGACTGAATCAACAACAACAACAATTTCATTTATTCATCTGTAGAAAACCTAATGTTTTGTATTGTCCAGAAAATAGCACAGAAAAGCAATGGTTCTTTGAGTGTGATGAATGGGGAAAGTGGGGCAAAGTTCACAATCTCTTTTAATCTTCTTCTATTCTTTTCAGCCCTAATGATTTTTACAGAATGTGACAGGCATCAGGGGTATCTGTGAAGATAATTTTCCTCATAGAATCATCAAATTATAAATTTAGGACAATAAGGGATCTAAAAGGTTAGGTAGTCCAACTTCTCAATTTTAATAATAGAGTAACTGGGGTTCAGATAGGGTGTGACTGGCCCAGGGTCATGAAGGTTGCATTCAAACCGAGGCCTTTTGGTTGACAAATCTTCTGCTATATTCACTTAACTACAAAGCTTCCCTGAGGAACCTTACTGATCTATTTTTCTGTTTACTAAAGTGGAACCCAGGACCAGGAGGTCGAGAAAACAAAAAGGTATATTTGACAATAACTCAGATGCAAATTAGATTAAAGTAGTTGGACAAGTCTGTAGAAAGAGCAGAGTCAACGGAAGGAGTGTACTTAATCTTAACCTGAGTTACTTTTTGTTTTCTTTTTGTTTTGTTACTGTTTTAATTTTTTTTAATTTATGGAATAAAACAAGCATTTCCATGACATAGTACAATAAAAAAAAATGATTGTTTATGAAACTGCAAATCTACTATGCACTACTTGCTATTATTTTCAAATATACAACATTTTCATGTAAATTTCTTTTTTATTATTATCAATCCTTTCTCTGGATGCAACTAGCATCTTTCTTCATATGTCCTTTGTAGTTAATTTGGGTATTTATAATATTCAAAATAACTTGTTTGCTCAAAGTCATTCTTAAAACAGTATTGCTGTTATTGTATACAATGTTTTCTTGGTTCTGCTCATTTTGCTCTTCATTATTTTGTGCAAGTCCTTGCATGTTTTTTTCCTTCCTTCCTTCCTTCCTTCCTTCCTTCCTTCCTTCCTTCCTTCCTTCCTTCCTTCCTTCCTTCCTTCCTTTCTTCCTTCCTTCCTCCCTGCTGTTTTCCCTTCCTCTCTTCCTTTCTTCCTTGCTTCTTTCTTTCCTTGCTTCCTTTCCTTCCTTCCTTCCTTCCTTCCTTCCTTCCTTCCTTCCTTCCTTCCTTCCTTCCTTCTTTCCTTCCTTCCTTCCTTCCTTTCTTCCTTCCTTCCAAGCTGTTGGACTTAGAATCTAGAAAGATTGAATTGGAATGTCATCTCTGATATTGAGTGTGTAACTCTTGGATTCTCATTCCACCCATAATCTGGTTCTACTCATAATGAGGTTGTTTTGGGCATAAATTTGATAATGAGCGAATGCATGAAAAAGAACGTACTTACGTGCTTCCTGTGTGCCAAGCATTTTTCTAAGTGCTAGGGAAACAAGCAGAAATAGCAAGACAGTCCCTGCTTACAAGGACCTCCCATAATACTTGGGGGAGACAACATATAAGTTAGAGTTCAGTTGGTGCTGGGTGTCTGGTGGGCAAAGAAGAAAGGCAAATGACAAGGCCTGGAGGACCTTAGGAGTCAATGACAGGAGGAATAGTGCACACTGATACAGTGTTCTCACCAAGTTCACCATTAATATAGTGAGCCCTCCAGAGCCATCCTGCCACCCCAGAGTCTCATTCTCTAGGCTTTTATTTGTCTTCACTTTCTTCAACCAATCTTCATCTCGCATGGACGCAAGGCCCTTCCTCATCCTCATTGCTGTCTTCTGAATTCTCTCTAGGTTATAGATGTCCTTCTTCAACTAGGGCACCCAGAATTGAACACAATCCTCTAGATCTGGTCTGGCAAGGGCAGAGTACAGTGTGATTACCATCTCCTTATTCCTGAAAACTATACTTCTCTCAATATAGCCCAAGATTGCAATAACTTTTTTGGCTACCACATCACACTGATGACTCACATTGAACTCACAAACTATTAAAATCTTTCAAATGTTTGCAGACAAATATTAGTCAGTCTATTCCCCATCTTGTACTTGTGATGTTGAGATTTTGAACACAAATAAGCGATTTTATATTTTATCCCTATTTGAATTTAGTCTTTTTAGATTCAGTCCAGTGCTCAGAAACTTTTTTGGATCCTGAATGTGCTTGCCCTTTCTTAGCTATCTTGCCCAGGTTTGTGCCATATGGAAATTTGATGAGTACATCTACACCTTCATCTGTCATTAGTGCAAATGTTGAACAATGAAGGACCAAACACAGATCCCTGGGGAACTCTATTAGAAACTTCCTTCCAAGTTGATATTGAAACATTAATGAGTATTTTTAAATTTCTTAAAATAAAAATTTATTCATTTGCCCAATTACATGTAAAAACATTTTAACATTCTTTTTTTTTTAAGTTTTGAGTTCCAATTCTATCTGTTCCTCCCTCTCCACCCTGAGATGGTAAGCAATCTATATAGGCTATGTATATGCAATAATGTAAGACACGTTTCCTCATCAGTCATTTTGTGGAAGGAAACAAGAGCCAAAGAAAGAAAGAAAGAAAGAAAGAAAGAAAGAAAGAAAGAAAGAAAGAAAGAAAGAAAGAAAGAAAGGAAAAAGAAAAAAGAAAGGGAGAAAGAAGGAAGAAAGGAAAGGAAGGAAGAGAAAAGTAGTATGCTTTGGTCTGTCATTGAGATATCATCAGTTCTTTCTCTGGAGGTGTATAGAATTTTTCATCATGAATTCTTTGGGGTTGTCTTGGATCATTGTATTGCTGAGAATAGCAAAGTAATTGACAGTTGTTCATCATCCAATGTTGCTGTTATTGTGTATAATGTTCTCCATTTTTTGAGCCAGTCAGCCAAACATATTTGAGTCCATTTAATTGTATCTTTTTAAAATAATTAATTCATTTTTAGTTCGCAATATTCACTTCTGCAAGATTTTGAGTTTTAAATTTTCTCCCCCTTTCTCTCCTCCCCCCTCCCCAAGACAGCATGCAATCTGACATAGGTTGTACTTATACATTCATATTAAACATATTTTCACATTAGTCATGATGTAAAGAAGAATTAGAACTA